GCCATGAGGTTTCTTTCTCCCAGTACAACAGCCGCGCCAGGGTCACTTGAGGACGCGTTCCAACGTTGGATTCATGTGACTTTGACACGAACTCGGCAGGACCTCTCGCCCCCTGGCGGATACCTGCCACGACTAAGGAGTTATTCTTTTTTAAGCAAAAGCAGAAACTGCTGCGAAGTAGTTCAGGTTCAAAGCTTGGGAAATTGGTATCTTCTTTTTTTAAAAAAAAAATCTGTGTGTTTTTAGTACGGTAGGCACCGTCAAGGACCGTCCCGTAGGCAAAATGCAGTAAGTCCGTCATCCTTCGTAGAATAGCTTCATACAGTATCACCAACGACTGTCAAAATCGCAAGAGCCCCGGAAGAAATTTTTAAAAACGACAAGAAGAGAATTTGCTATCTTATATTTTTTTATCATTTATAAATACCTAATCTGTTTACATATATTTTAAGGCAGTTTGCATTAAATAGCACCAGAAAAACACTTGACAATTTAAGTTATCCAGATGGATCATTTAAAAACAAAATTGCGAACAACAAATAAAGACACTTATTCATTTGTTTTATTACCATTGAATTGAGATCAACTCCTGTTGATCCGTCTTTAATAACAGCTAGTACCTCTTCCAAGGACAACACATAAATCTCTGATCCATATTATCCAACTTAACTATTGTTTCCCTTGTGTTTTCCTCAACCTTGCCAGCATATTTTTTTTTGTAGTTCATCTTCTGCTGGCATTGTGTATCCAAAATACAGTATGTGGTTTTTGCTTGCGGACCATTCCTGGAACATATCGTCTAGGACTTCACTAATAGTACTCTTATTAATTATCTTGAAATCCATATGACAAAGGCTTTCATTTGCTCTTTCTTAAGGTCTAGGGCCTAGACACAGCAAACTGTCTCTTGGGTGAAAAGTCCCATAAATATTATATTCCTGCCAAGTTCTTCATCCCACCTACTTTACTCAGTAGCGCTGACCAAAGAACATCTGTACTATGAGATAGACTCTCTCTCTCTAAATCAAACTGGATAATATATAAACCTAGTTTAGCATCTGAATTCAAAAGTTCTTCCCCATTTACTGTTCTTGCAAGATACAGTAGTAATTAAGATATAATGGTTTAATGCCATGCAAAATGAGTTGCCTTAAGTAGCTGTGCCACTGCTCAAAGGTAAAACTGGTTTCTTAGTTGTAGGGACAGAACAGAGGAAAGCTTTTGAAGATGATTTCAATTAGTAAGCTGAAAAACAGGAAAGAGAGCTTAAGACAATAGCTCTTCATTCTGTGCTAGCTTTCCCCAACTTTCTTTCTGACCCTCTCTTTTATACAGGTAAAAAGTTTGAGGTAATGTTGGATTCTTGATGCTCTCTGATTTCTTGCAGATGTTTTGTTACCAAGATAGTAGATAACATCATAGTGAGAGGGAGAGTTGAGTTTACTTGCTGCTTATATGCTGACTGATTGAGGTATATTAGATGGTAACAGAAAAGTATGGTATATATTTTTATATATAGACTCATCACCAAGTAGTTTAGATCTAGAAACCTCGGGGAATGTTCTGTATATGTAAAGTATAACTGGATGTTGCTCCATTGAGCCATGATGATTGTTCATTTCATTAGTACTCAAAGGACAAAACAATTCCCTTAAGCATCACAACTCATTTTATGTGAAATCATTAAGCTGTAGTTTAATAAACTATTATTAAGCAAAAAATAGATTAGTATATCTGAATCTTAATTACTGTATCTCTGAGCCATTTATTTAATTTTGAAGTGCCAATCTGGCAGTCAATATAGGGTAAAAGCTAAGTATAAATATATTTTATAAATTAGAATATAGCATCCTTATCACTTTGGATCAGTTCAGATCATTTATTGTATTCCATGATCAAAAAGCAAATTAACCTAAATAATTTTATTATCCCAACTTATAAACAATTTGTATCAGGTAGTTAATAAACTGAAAACAGTTATACAATTTTATAATAATCAACAGCAATAGCAGACACATTGGAAATAGTAAAAATTTGATACATTTCCAGGTTTCATCATTTATTTGCTAGTAACGCAGCTACAATTGGCAGTAACGCAGCTAGAAATTGGCAACTATAAAAATACCATCATGATTAAAATTGTGCTACACACACACACACACACACACACACACACACACACACACACACACACACCCCTATATATATATATATATATATATATATATATATATNTTATGTTGTCATGTTTACAACCTGAAATATTTACAAATTCTCTCAACAGACATTATCAAACTAATTTGTTCTATAAATGAAATTAAAAAGAAAAGCCAATGCCAAAATTACACACGAAAAACAGAAACCAGATCCAAACAAGTTATTGAAATGGGGTGGGGAAGGAAGAACAGGAAACAATTAAATGAACAGAGAAGCATAAAACACCAAGATTAACAAAGAAGGGGAAGAGTCTAATGTAATGTATTTGATTTAAAGGAATTTTTATTTATTTATTTCTGATTTTTAAATAAAGTCAATGCAGTAAATTTGATATGAAGGATAGAATATCAAAACGTTTAAAGCCAATATAAATATATGACAATATTTTTATGCTGAATTTGTTTATGTACCATGCCATATACATAATCATGAAGTCCTTATATGTCTTTGAATTATTCTAAATGTTAATAGATTTGACTGGACCCTACTTTATAGATACGGGAAGGCATAAAAGTAAATCTGAAGTTCTCAAGTTCATAAACTTTTCTGTTTGGCATGCCCACATGGAAACAGATCTAAATGACCTGGTTTAAAAAAAAATTACAATTTTTATTGAAAGTTTTAATTACAATAGTAAAAGCAAATACAAACTAATCTCAGAGAGGGGAGAAATAAAAAGAATAAAAAGTGCAAAGGAAGAAAAAAAAGAAGAAGAAATAGGAAACAAAAAATAGAGAAGTTATTTTTGATCCGCATGACAGTTATAAACTAACTTAATAGCTCTTTACACCCTATAAAGTTACAAACAAATATTTCTACTCATAATCCCCTATCTAGATACAAATCCATAAAATATCAACTTTTCAGTCCTAGTTTAAGCAAAAAGTCTTTAAAGGGTTAACAGAGTTTTATAGATACATGTCTTATTTTAAGATTGGTCAAACAAACTTTATATTCCTTCCTTTTATGTCTGGCAATCTTAATCTTTAATTCATTCAAATGTTGTCCTCGGATTTGATCTCACTTCAAAAATTTATTTTCCCATTTCAAAGGCCTTTTCAAGGCTTTAGCAATCCTCATGTGTAAATCTAATAAAAAATCATTACAGATAGTCCTTGACTTACAACCACTGGTTTAATGACCAAAATTACAACAGCAAAAAAGTGATTTACAACCAGTAACTTTTAACAGCACATAACATTGTCACAGCATCCCCATGGACAAGGAATCAAAATTCAGATTCTTGGCAACCACCATGTATTAGAATGGTTTCAGTATCCTGGGATTATGTGACTACCATTTGCAATTTTTTCAGCCGGCTGCCAACAAGAAAAGTCAATGGGGGAAACCGGATTTGCTTAACAAGCACATTTCATTTAACAACTGCAGTGGTTAACTTAACAACTGCAGCAAAAAAGATTGTAAAATTTGGCAAAACTCATTTAACTGCCTTTCTTAACAATACAATTCTGGTTTCAATTGTGGTCATAAGTCAAACACTACCTGTATCAACATGATTCTCTTGATTTATCATTTTTATTTTTACTTTGATTTTCAAAAGTTTAGCCAACTTCTTTTATATATCCAGAAGGAAGTCTTTATCCAAGTCATTCTCTTGGCTTGTCATTTATGGTTTCACTTTAGCTTCCTTCTCTGTATTATAAACCACATATTTTTATTATCCAGTATTTCTGGTTTTAATATTTCTGCATCAGGTCACATTTGTTTCATATCTCTTATTGATATCTTTTGGACATAGTCTAACTATAGAAATAGATTTTGTATTGAGAACTGAATGTAAAGATAAAATCACAATGGACAAAGAACTTGAAAAAAATGGGAACTTTAATGTTATATATCCTGACAGCAGCAAGAATGCTGTACTCAATAGAAAAATACTTTAATGTCCACATGGATAATTGGCTGCAAAAGCAGAGATGGCTAAATTGACTGCTTTAATTAAAGAAAAGAGTACAAATAACTTTGTTTTTATTTGGAAATCACTTATGGAATTGGTGCTTGAGATGGAAAACAATGAAACTTAGATTTGGGGTTTTCCTAATTAGATATATTGTTACAGAAATGGTTAGTATATATATTACTATGTAAAAGTAAAAAAGTTAAGTTGTTATGTCATTAACTTATTCTACCTTGCTAAAAAAAAGTTGGAAGTCAACCCTTTTCTTTTTTGTCTCTCCTTTTACCCTATACTTTCCCTCTTTCCTTCTTCGTCCCTTACTTTTCCATTTTATTATTTTCATTTTTTTCTTTGTATTATTTTGATAAACTAATAAAAATTTGAAGTGTTATACTGTAATTATTTCTAAATCATCACCATTATCATTAGGGGAGGTAGCTGGCACAATTCATAGTACCCCCTTTCCTGTTCTGTACAGTTGTGGTTGGTCACAAGATAATTAAAGGTTGGACAGCGCCTTGGAGTCAGGAGGTGGGTTTCCTGCTAGTAAGAATGTAGCTGGATCCCCAAGCTATATGGAGCTTCAAAAATGCAGGTTAAAACCAAACCTTGCAATATATGCTGCATCACAGTTGATTCAGAAGTGAATAATCTCGGCTGCCTAAGGAAGAATAGCATAGGATTATAGGAATAAATAGCTGATTTGGAATTGAAGCCAAAGCCGCCTGTAGCAGGACCTTGAGACAAATGGTTAAATTAAGCATGTCTGCTCTCATTGGTGTAGCATTGAAGTCTTCTCAAACTGAGCAAGGAAGAGAATATGAAATTAACTGTACAATGAAGCACTTTCTGTTTCTACACTTACAGTGAATCTTTTTTTCTTCACTCTGTGTTCATCAGAGCTGGGAATGCTAACACTTGGACAGCTTTCCTTCAGATCCATTTTATGTTGCTTTCGAGCAAAAGCTCAAGACCACCACACCAGGACGTAGAAAGTATCATCAGCATTGACTTAAAACACATAGTCGTTCTTGTGTAAACTTAGGTTCCATCATGAAAACCTTAAATAAAATGAAATGTTAGAAAGGAGCAATAAGAAGTGATGTGGTTCATAAAATCTGATTTCCCCTTTTAAAAATTCACTCCCAGCCCACATTTCTACAAAGTGAATTTGGAACAAGAGTATTCGTGTTTTTTTTTAAAGGGCTTGGAGATTATGCATGCAGACACAAGAAGCATATTTTTAATATTTGAATATACATTCTATAGAAGATATGTAGAACTCTGAACTATTTCTGTCACTACATGTATGTAAACTGCAATATGAAATAACTATGCATTTTATTTGCTCTACTAGCTCCTGACAAATCTCACAAACGCTATTGAAAGAATAACATATAGTCACATGTTGTCACATCATAGCAAGTAACAGAATAATGAAGGTGGATTTTTATGATTGAGGTTTTATGGTCAAGCAATAAATATAATCTCACTAACATAATTGCAAAATGATAAATGTAGAATTATATTTATGTTATTTCTTCTCTTATCCGTTCTTTCCCACATAGCCCAATATCTTTAATTTAGAGAAAGGTTACTAAGACTGCATATTTTCCAATGTAAATAGGACAAGATATGACAAGTACCACCTTGCAGTGATATCACTGCATAAATGTTTATATAATTATGCTGGGACATAGAGTGGGCTTTTCATAATGATGTCACTGTGCATCCTCAGATGCTGTGAAAACACATCTTGTTCCTTATTCTGCTGGCAAAAAAAATGCCAACCAACCAAGCTGAGTTGTTTTCTACCATTAATGAAAGGAGATTGGCTGCAGCCTGCTACTACTACCAGCCTATACTTTTTTGCGACATTCTTAAGATAGTAATTCAAAATAATAGTTGGATTTGTGTATAACACTATACCATGAGCATAGTTTATAAACCACCATGGCTGGGCTTGGCTAACACAATAGCCCCAAATAAACCACACTATGGTTTACTGTAACATGTAAACCAGAACAGTCTTTTCAGAATAGTTAATTTCTGCCTAATATAAAATATGATATGTTGCCTTAAAACAGCCTGGGATTTTCCTTTGAAAAGCTAAATACTAATTAATTCTCTTCTTATCAATAATCCCCAATGCATAGACTCGTAATGTATGCACAGATCAAAAGAAAACATGGCAAATGTAAAAAACTGCTACAGCTTTAAGCTGCTAATTTAAAATATGGAGCTTGCTGAGGGTATACTAATGAACATAAAACGTAAAACTTGGCTTCTGAATTACAATATTTATGCAACCTGGCTTGTGACTGTGACTCAGAGTTAGATCTGCTCAGAGGCTTTCAAATGCACCCAGAACCTTAGATTTTGGAGATTATGTTCAAACAAGTTGAAATAAATAAATAAATAACCTAATTTATAAGATTTATAGGGTCTTTGTTTTATCCCAGGAGTAAATTTATTTTTGACAAACACAAGCTATTGTTCTAAATACAAGTAATAATCCTCCTGCATTTAAAATTTAAGCATCAAATGATAAGTATCAAATAATGGCCCAAGAAATACATTTGATGATTCTGGCAGATTAAAAAGACAAAAAAAAAGAAAAATAAACAGTTCAGGGAAAGAAAATGATATTAAGAAATTCATTTCTTTATGCAGCCAAATTTCCAACTTGCAAAGAGCAAAACCAAGCAAATAATTCAAAAATGAATTATTTCCAATCTATAAAGAATAGGCGTACAGTCTGGTATGTAATTATAATATTCTCATACAAAAATACATTGACAGCTATAGCAGAAAAGAAGTTTCAGTTTGCCCAGCCTTGAATGTAAAAAAAAAATGGAACTTGGCACAAAGAACATGGAACAATTCAATTTCAGGATTACACAGGTTGAAATCACATACAATTATATACCTATGTATTTATTTTTGTGCATGCTATTAATATAAAAAGCAAAAGAGAGTAAAAGTATTTAAACCCATGTGCTATTTTCTTCCCATGTTACAGGACAGACGTGATTTAAACAGATGCCTAGACTGTTTTCTCTTATAAATATTTCAAATATAAGCTATCAAATTAAATCATGAATCTGTCCTGCAAATAATAATATGCCTTGCCTAGACACCCTGGTTGGACAGAAATAGACACATGGAAATAAACATAAAAGATCCAAATAAAAACATTCCATGCTTTAAGAATGATCCACAAAAAACTTTCTCATGTCCCTAGTAAACAGCTTCTTGAAAATAGGTGCATCTTTAGGAAGTTTATTCTGCACATGAAAGCAATTAAAATAAAATACTTAAGAGAGGGTCCAGTTCTTGCAATTTGGATCAATGGAAGAAGCCAGGCAGAATAATATAGACTGGCAAAAGCGGTCTCTAATAATTGCTTTCCCAGCTTCATGTTAATATAATGTTAAGGATGAGGCAAATTTTACTTGTGTTTCCCACCTCATTGAACTCTATAGATTTATATCATTCTTTCCAAACAAAACTACTTCAAGATTTCAGAGTCAGTTGGGGAATAGCCTAAATAATATGAAACATGAAATATAAATAAATAAACTTAATGATATCACTGACCATCTTACAATGCTCCAACAATTTCTTTTCAAATAGATTTTACTGTAAATGTAGTGTTATATCAGCACCGGCACCTGCTTTTTGGTGTCCAAGGATAACAATATATTTGGAAACAAGATTAGAAAGAGTTGTTCAGGAGAGGTAGCTGTTGCAACGAGCAGCTTTCTTCCACTCTTAGGAATACAAGTACACCACTGTTTTCACCCACACATAGAATAATTCTGGGATTCATAGTCATGCTAGCCTAAACCTTGGACTAAAGACAGGCTTTGTTTTCAAATACAGTGGTATTTGGCAATAAATGAAGGCATGGACATGAAATATCCTAGTCATCTAACATGACAACATCCCCCAAACGATTGAAATTAAGGACATTTCTTTCTCAATACAAGCTCACCTATAATTGAAATGCAATATAAACTTTGGTTCAAGTTGTTTTTTTCTTTGCTGTTTCTGGCAAGAAACGAGGAAGTGTTATGTATACACGTGTGTCTTTAAACGTACGTACGGTATACATCTATAGCAGTGTTTTTCAACCACTGTGCCGCGGCACACTAGTGTGCTGTGACATAGTGTAAGNATCTGATTTACAACAAAGTTACTTTGAACTGGAATTAGGATATTACCCAATCCACAGTAAACTTATCTCAAGTTGGAAAGCAACACAATGACAGTATAACAGTGCACAACACATTGTTTCAACTGCTTCCAAGTGACAAGGGCAAAAACTCTCTGCAAAGGGAGTAAGTTGATATGTTTCTTCTTTTAGGATTAAAAACAGAACACTAAACCTTGCTAATATGAAAATCCTATGGTATTTTTCAATGTCAAAAATATACAATTATTTAGCTTGGGCAAAAGCTTTGCTTACATTTCTCTTTTCAAAGCAGCAATCAGCCTTACCATAATTCTGCCTCAAGAGCAGGGCAGCATTGGAAGCAAAATCAGGGTTCCCAAAGATACTCTTTGAAAACTTGGGCTGAATACCTCTAGGAGGAAGAAGACTTTGTAAGTGCAATCCTGTGTCATATTATAGCATAGCAACTGCCTTGCTCTGGAAGACAAGGCTGTATCAAGGCTTGTAAAGCATTTCTTTGATTGGTCTGTCTAAACAGTGCCGAAAAATGGGCTTCCATTTTGGATAAAGAAGTTGCTTCAGCAAGAGTTCTCCTTTTGGTCTTCTTCCTAACTTAATATTTACATATTTTTTCATTATCTGTTGTTTTTCAGATTATATAATATTTTCCAATATTTAAAATATTCTTGTTTCAAATATCTCTATTGGTGTATGCTCTGCTGAGATATATTTATATAGAGAAATGATATTTCCAACATATGGAATAATTGTGCAGTGTCTTCTTTAACAAGTTATCTGTTATTTTCTGTAGCTTAGCTAATGCTAACAATTAAACAAGGATTTTATCATTCTAATAGATTTTAGTCTTTCCTGACTGTGGGTTCCACTAATGCAGTGTCACCGGATACCAGGGTTAGAGTGAACATAACAGTAATTTTTCTATCCAAATTGAGTGGCAAAGGTAATACTGCCCCTGTCATAGCACACTTGTAACTTGTAAAATGATTGAGTGCTGGCTTCTTTTGTGGAGTCATTTTTAGGTCTTCAATATACTGTCTTTTCTTTTGCTGGACACTTGACACAAGAGTGAAAAACTACTATCTGGAGGCCTGTCTTTAATGCACTTTTGAGAATACGTTTCTTTATTTACATTCTTGGGGAAGGGAGAAGATTCAGCCACTCTTCATAATTTCCTAATGGAATTCTTGGCTCTTTTGTGCCTTGGTAACAGAATCTGCCAGCTATTTCTCTTGATTATATTGCATAAAACAGGAAAGTAGCAGAGTGGGAGTTGGGAGGACAAGGAAAAGAAGTAATCTAGAGGAAAACAAACAAGATCATTCAGAGGGAATAGAATCCTTATTTCCTGAGATCACTGAATATATTCAGAAAAGAACCCAAAACAGAGATTTGTATTATTACTTTGAAGATTACTATTTCAGACTGCTGATTAATACATTTAATTTACCTTTAAGAAAAATTTGGAATATAATAATGTACCGTAGCTGCACATACCATATTCATGTTTGTCATATTTCTATTATATTGCTTGCATTGATACATGTTGTGGCTTATTGTTGCTCTTAATACAGTACCACTATACTCAGTTGGTTGTAAAATTAATTGTGTTTAAAGTAGCCTTGATAAGATTAATAACATTATTTTCCTGTGTGTGAATAAAGAGTAGAATGAAGGCCATCAAGTACATAGTGTGAATACTCTGGCAAGTGGATTATAACTGTTTTATAGTCCCTTATGTCTAATCCTTCTGTTATCTAGAGCTGTATCTCTGCTTTCTATAAAAAAAACTTCTGTATATTATTTCCAGGCAAATGGGACTAGATACTGCCAAAGCAAATGGCCACATTGCCATGATACTGTAAATTGCCTTCATTTATAAAATAAAAAAACCAGTTACCTCAGAATAGATCAATTGCTTTCTGTAAGCAAATAAAACACAGTTTTGCAGTCATTTTGCATTCATTCACTTCTTACAAAAAGAATAAGCCAAAGGGGACCCAGGGATAACACCACAAGTAACACTATCTGTACTAAGCTGAGCCTTCTCCAGTGTGATGCTTCCAAATCTGTTAAACTTTCATAATTCCCACCCAACTAGTGGTGGACACAGATGGGAAGGGAAGTCTTTAATAAAATTATATTAACATGTAACATATATTAACATATAAGAAGGATGAATAAAAAGACTGAAGAACCAACACAAAAGTAAAAATACTTTTGCAAAAGTAAAAGAAATAAGTAAAATAAACTTTAAAAAGGTTAAAAAGGATAGCATGCAAACAGTAACTCTACCTTGCTGAGTGTTGCACAGGGATGAGGTGGAGACATAGTGAAACTGGAAAAAGGCTTAAATGGGATTTTTTGATTCTTGAACTGGAGCTATGCATCTAACTAAAAACTACATTGTTGCTGCAAAATATTATGATTTGTCAAATATATGGAGAAACATAATTGAAAAAGCGAAAAAAATAAGATAAACTCCATCTGAAATATTTTTGAAAACCATTTTATGACACCCCTTTTTAAATTAAATTAAGTATTTTGAAAAAATACTTTCCAATTCGTTCATAAAGGATGATATTGGCTTTTTTCTTTGTAGTTAATACTTTATAAAAATATATCCCATCAAATTATTTGTGGTTCCACTGATGTTTGTCTGGCTAAGAAAGTTGCCCATTCCTAACCTAATTTGTTCATCATAACAATTCCTATAACACTGACAACAATGGCAGCATTTGAAAGAAAAGCTGTTTTGGCTTAGTAATGTCCACAAAAATGTCAATGTGAGATTAAGAAAATATCTTAAGGATGGCTTGCTGTTTAGTATTAAGTTCCAATAAATAACATCTAAATCTATAGTTTCAAGGCTTGCTGAGAATTTTGAACTGAACAGAGATGAATAAGTATGTGTATCATCAAGCTGGTGTCAACTCTCAGCAACTTCATAGATTTTTTTCCAAAACCACTTGTTTTCAGTTTGGTCCTTCAAATCTTCCACTGTGCATCAATTACTACTATAATCCTTAATCTTTGGATTAAAAAGATGTGATTTTCTTAAGAGGTTTCTTTAACACCAAAGTTCAAAAGCATCAATATTTTTTCCATCTTCTTTCAAAAACCACCTTTCACTTCCATAATGGGACAGAGAAAGCCATTGCTTGTATGATTCTGTTTTTGTAAATATAGGCACATTATGACATGTGAATAAGAAATCAGTTTGGTTTAGTAGTTAAAGAATAGGTCCCTGACCCCCAGTCTACGGACTAGAATGTCCGTAGACTAGGGGACATGGAATGCCAGAAACTGGGCCACACAAACAAGGGAAGCCCCATCTGAACCAGAACATAAAATCACGACACCTCTGGTCCATGGAAAAATCTCTCTCCACACAACTGGTCCCTGGTGCCCAAAAGGTTGGGGGCCACTGGGCTAGAAACTGGGAAACTCTCCTGTCTTTGCCATGAAAGCTAGCTGGGTGGCCTTGGACTAGTCACTTTCTCTCAGCCCAACTCAGGGTTGTTGTGGGGAAAATAGGAGGAAAATGTATTGAAAATGTTCGCTGCTTTGAGTTATTTGTAAAAATAATAAAGGTGGGACACTAATAAATATATTTTCTAGGGCCTTCATTGCTACCCTACACTGCTTATCAATCTAATAAACAGCTCTGTGGCATTTCTCTGTGGCACGATTAATACATTATTGCATATGCTTTGATTGACTACCATCTACTTCATCAACTGTTTCCTGAGTACCTGTATATAGTATATATTTCTGATGGGAACTGCAATAAATACTGGAACGAAAACACACAAAAGGGAGTACAAAAATTATCTTTGCCTTAATAGTGACTGCTGAATCCGGTACACCGTTCTTGAGTGATATAACACAATCATTCTTACATTGGCAAGAATGTTAACCAGGTTTAGATACCCTTCACATCGACTGAGGAAGAGAAAAATGTTGTTCTTCGCACTAGCTAGACAACTTTTTCACATCAAATTACGATTCATGAAAAAAGTCACGAGACAACAGCAAGGCATTCTAGGAAACATTCATTTCGGTTTCCATTCTCATAGAAGCTCCAATGTTTCCTTTGAAACGGAAACACTACATTTCCCAGTCGTCTTTGTTGAAAAACATTGTCTCCCTCCCTCCCCTCTCTCGAGTTTTTCCTGTACGGTGTTGCATGCCGGTAATAGTAGTTTCCGACTACCCTCCATTCGATACCACGCCGCTTGGTTTCCTTGGAAAAGAAAACTACAATTCCAATCTGCCTTAGCCGGCTGCGCTTGCGCTGTCTGCATGGAAGGAGGGAGGGGAAAGGCCGTTACGTCGCGGGCAACGGCCACGGTAGTGAAGAGGCAGTAAGCGGTAGTACCGGAGGTTTACGTGTTCGCTGCTGGATTTGTCCCGAGTAATAAGAAGAGGGCGAGTTTTGTCAGGTTCTGTGCGTGCTGGTGGAAAAACGGGGATGAAGCTGTGAGGGGGCGCTTACCGAAAGAAGTGGAAAAAAAGAGACCAGCCGCAGGCAGGCAAAGGAGGAGGCGCAAAGCGATGTCTCAGCCGCCTCAGCAGGAGCAGCAGCCAGTGGCAACGCTGGTCCCGAAGAAGAAGGACCGGCGTATCTTCTCGGGCACTTGTCCTGACCCCAAGTGTCAGGCGCGCCTGTTTTTTCCGGCGCACGGGCCTCTAAGCAGCGGGAGCATCGAGTGCACGGACTGTGGGCAGCGTCATGAACAGCGGCAGCTGCTGGGAGTGGAGGAGGTGACGGATCCCGACTTGGTGCTGCACAATTTGCTGCGGAACGCACTGCTAGGAGTGAGTGGGGCGGGGCCCCCTAGAAAGAACACCGAGCTGGTGAAAGTTATGGGCCTGTCAAACTATCACTGCAAGCTGCTCTCGCCTATTCTGGCCCGCTATGGCATGGATAAACAGACCGGCAAAGCTAAACTCCTAACTGAGATGAACCAAGGAGATGTTTTTGACTGTGCTCTGCTTGGGGACCGTGCCTTTCTTATTGAGCCTGAGCATGTCGACACTGTAGGATACGGCAAAGATCGCTCTGGTAGCCTCCTGTACCTGCAGGACACCTTAGAGGATATTAAGAAGGCTAATAATAGCCAGGAGTGCCTCATCCCAGTCCATGTGGATGGTGATGGCCATTGTTTAGTCCATGCAATTTCCCGAGCACTGGTGGGTAGGGAACTCTTCTGGCATGCTTTGCGGGAGAACCTCAAGAAGCACTTTATGGAGAATCTCAGCCGCTATAAAGCCCTTTTTCATGATTTTATTGATGCGGCAGAATGGGAAGACATAATCAATGAATGTGACCCCTTATTTATTCCTCCTGAGGGTGTACCGATGGGTCTTCGAAACATCCACATTTTTGGACTAGCCAATGTTTTACATCGGCCCATCATCCTCTTGGATTCCTTGAGTGGAATGCGTAGTTCAGGGGACTATTCTGCCACATTCCTTCCTGGATTGATACCAGAAGAAAAATGCATGGGGAAAGATGGCATGCTGAACAAACCAATTTGTATTGCCTGGAGTAGTTCTGGGCGTAATCATTATATTCCTCTGGTTGGAATAAAAGGTGCTGCTTTGCCTAAATTGCCTATGAAATTACTTCCTAAAGCTTGGGGAGTGCCTCAAGACCTTATTAAAAAGTATATCAAATTGGAAGACGATGGTAGCTGTGTGATTGGAGGAGACAGAAGTTTGCATGATAAATACTTGATGAGGCTAGTTGCAGCCATGGAGGAAGTTTTTATGGATAAGCATGGCATTCATCCCAGTTTAGTAGCTGATGTACATCAGTACTTCTATCGGCGGACTGGTGTAATAGGAGTTCAGCCTGAAGATGTTACAGCAGCTGCTAAAAAGGCAGTTATCGACAACCGACTTCACAAGTGTCTCATTTGTTGTGCTCTTTCAGAACTTCATGTTCCTCCAGAATGGCTAGCTCCAGGAGGGAAGCTGTATAATCTTGCAAAGAGTACCCATGGTCAGTTAAGGCCTGATAAAAATTACAGTTTCCCTCTGAACAGTTTGGTATGTTCCTATAATCCTGTAAAGGATGTACTAGTACCAGACTACAGTTTGAGTAGTCTGACTGCCTGTAACTGGTGTCATGGCACATTGGTGCGTCGTGTGAGAAGTGATGGCTCTGTTGTATATTTGGATGGGGACAGAACTAATACTAGATCAACAGGTGGCAAATGTGGCTGTGGATTCAAACATTATTGGGAAGGCAAAGAATATGACAATCTCCCTGAAGCTTTCCCTATTACTTTAGAGTGGGGTGGGAGGGTGGTAAGAGAGACAGTCTATTGGTTCCAATATGAAAGTGATCAATCTCTGAACAGCAATGTATATGATGTTGCAATGAAACTCGTTACTAAGCACTTTCCTGGAGAATTTGGTAGTGAGATTCTTGTCCAGAAAGTTGTCAATACAATTCTGCATCAAACAGCCAAAAAGAACCCTGATGATTACACTCCTGTAAACATTGATAGTGCTCATGCCCGAAGAGCCGATGATATGCAACAAGGACAAGATTTGGCATCTCAGCTTCCAACCAAAATTATTCTTACTGGACAGAAAACAAAAACATTGCACAAAGAAGAACTGAATATGAGTAAAACTGAAAGAACTATTCAACAAAACATTGCAGAACAAGCACCTATAATGCAAAAACGAAAAACTGAAAAATGGAAGCAAGTACAAAAAGGGCCAGCTAGAACTGTGTCTCCTGGTACTATTCCTGATGGGTCATCCTCTGCACCTGCTACTCCCACCAAGACTCCTTATTCTCCAATATCTACGAAAGAAAAGAAAATTCGCATAACAACAAATGATGGGCGACAGACCATGCTCACTTTGAAATCCACTACAACATTTCTAGAATTGCAGGAAAGCATAGCTAGAGAATTTAATATTCCTCCACATTTGCAATGTATTCGCTTTGGCTTTCCTCCCAAGGAGCTGCTGCCACCTAAGGAAGGGCAAGAAAATGAACCTGTTCCTCTGCTACATGGAGATAGAATAACCATAGAGATTCTTAAAGGGAAGGAAGATAATAACCAGGCTAGTTCAGTACATTCAGCTCATGTTGTGAAGCATGATGATATTGCTGTTACTAGCAGAATTACTTCCAAGGAACTTCAAGAGCAAATAGACAAGGAAATGTACTCTTTGTGTCTTCTTGCAACATTTATGGGTAAGGCAATACTAATCTCCTTCTTTATAAATATAGAGTATAAGTATAAAAATATTTGTATCGCTAGAAATGTACAGTGTCCAAATAAATTCTTTAGTAATAATAAGAACACTTCTTTCTTTTACCATACCAATTTCTGTAGGTTAGGAGCATTTTAATATTAAGTAATGTGGCAATTCTGTATTGATTGAACTCATTGAAATAATTCTGTTTACAGAAGGACTATGCCTTAATGAAACTTTGAAAAACTATGGTAGTTGCAAATTTAGAAAAAAACCCCTATTTTGTTTCACTTTTTCTTGAATGCTATTTATGAAGCACTGATATAATGCTCACAAATGTGAGGTGTTGAAATATTTTCTGACATTCAGTACAAATTTTATCGGTTTGTTTGAAGTATAATATTAATGTACATTATACATTGTTGTACATTGTACAACATGGGCATGTTCTTTGTTTATACTTTTTTCATAGAGAATTCAACTCCATAGGAAATTAGTGTTCTTAAAATATGCATTTAAATCGGAAAATAGCTCTAAATTTATATTCACAAATTTGATGTACTAATATAAGTTATTTGTTGTATTAAGCACTATCTGCTATTTGGCCAAATCTACTAGGAATTATGTTTTAGAAACTTTTCACTTAAATTAATTGGTGATGTTAACATTAATTTAAGTTTTGCAGCTCTTATAATTGGTTGCAGGCTGCATGACATATAGAAAGCTGGTTGATATATGTGTCTTAAGCATTATATTACTGCAATTAAAAAAACCTCTTTGGATAATGTTCGAACGGCCACAGGTTTCTAGAAAACCCTCCCAGAATGTTCTTCCTTTTATTACCCCCCTTGTGATGCTGTTTATGTTCTTTAATTTGGAATGGACTTTCCAATCCAGACAATATAAATAAAACAGTGCAATTATTTTTTTAAGTGAAGCTTCATTGTATAATCTTATGAATTGAAAGCTTTACAAACATGTCTTTTATGAGAGAACAATTTTATTCTTTCAAATAAAATTATATTTTCAATGACCTGGATGTCTGAGAATCTCCATAGATATATTTTCAATAAAAATTCAGTCCTTTTTCTGGAATCAACTTTTTCTCTTGAATGCAAGTTGAAAAGATGTAAGGAAGAGAAAGTACCATAGTTTGCTTGCTTGCTCGCTCATTCATTTATTCATTCATTTTCTATTGCTGTCCATCTCAGCCAATGACTGTGGGTGGCTTACAATTCAAAGAATATATTACAGTTAAAATACTAAAACCTTTTTAAAACAATAAAAATAAAAACATTCATATTAAATATACATAGGACAAAGATGGCCAGTTAGCAATACAGCCTGGAAATGGGGCTCTTAACATATTCAGCACCCCAGGCAGGAGAACATAGCCAGGTTTGAGTGATCTTACAAAAGTCTGATAGGGTGGGGCCATTTAAACTCTGAAGGAATGATATTTCTTCCTTGCATCTTTTCAACTTGCATTCAAGAGGAAAGGTTGATTCCAGGAAAAGGACTGAATTTTTATTGAAAATACGTCTACAGAGATTATTTGGTACAGTAAAATTGTTCTTCATAGAGCAGGGACACCACAGAAAAAATTTGTCTGTAATCCTTGCCAATTGACACTGTTTGACTGATGGGATCTGTAGCATACCCATTCTGCTCCATCTAATTGGATGATAGAGACCCTTGGAAAAAGTTGATCCCTAAGGTATCCTTCTTTATTCTAAATATCTAATATGTCTTCCTTATCCTAATGCATCTACTGCATTTTTTGGACTATAAGACGCACTGGTGTATAAGACACACCAGGATTTCGAAGAGATAAGTAAGAAAGAAAGTTTTTGCCTTCCCTCAGCCCCCATCAGCACTCTGCAGGCCTCAGCAGGACTGGGGGAAGGCAAAAACGCCTGTTTTTGGGGGGGAAAGGGTGGAAAACAGGCCATGTTTTGCCCATTTTGCGCAAAAATGGGATGCGGGGGTGGGGCTTCAGGAGACAAAAAAATGGCTGTATTCGGTATACAAGATGCACCAACATTTCCACACTCTTTTAGGGGGGCGGAAAGTGTGTCTTATACTCAAAAATATACAGTAAATGGATAAGTGAGAAACAAAAACAGTCTGAAAACTGGGTTAATATCAATTGCAATGCTTTGATATATGGTAGAAAAAATGGAGATGAGGAAGACGAATAAGTGTGCATCTAATATAGGTGTGGCTGTATGCATATGACATGAATGAAAAGTGAATGTAGTATGATAGTTTTTTTCCAACGTGGTTTATTACTGTCAGAATTGGAAACTTTTATAATCATCTATGTGGGTCCAACGCATATGGAGACATCAGATTAGCATATGTTATACTGAATGATATATTTTGATGTGGCCTGACTCAAACATTACAAATCATAGCATGAGTAAATACCTTGTACACAACTCAATTTTGTATGGCTATTCTTTATAAACATGACATTATTCTTATTATTCATTATTCAAACTAACAATATTAACCAATTATATCTTAATTTCAGATTATTAAATTTGGATTATTACAAATCATGTTATCAAACCATTATTTAATTTAATTTATGAAAGTTTGGACAGAACAGAAATTGTTCAAAAGCAATATGTCTCCTTGTATGCATCAACCAAGAAAAAGGCAATATGTCTCCTTGTATGCATCAACCAAGAAAAAGGCAAGAGAGAGTCTTAGGTTTGAAATAAACACCATGTTTTCCCGAAAATAAGACAGGGTCTTATTTTCTTTTCACCCCCAAAATATTGATTGGGACTTATTATCTGGGAGGGGCTTATTGTTTTGGGGTTGCTGGGTGGCTGCTCTCTTATGAGCACGCACCAAAGAGCCAGGCACAGCCTCAGGGGCAAACGGCTGTGTTGCGCTGTTGCAGCAGCGCAATGCACCAGCCATGAGGTGACCACGCTCACGAGCATCCACCTGGCAACCCCCCCTTTCCAGCCGTGCAGAGCACTACTCATCAACCCAGTGATATCCCAAAGGCACTAAGCCGCTTGGTGCTCTGCCCTCCCCCCAGCTCCTGTGGCTTGGTGCATTCGGGATACTCTTAGGTCAGTGCATGGCGCTCTGCCCGGCTGGAAAGGGAGGTTGCACGAGTGTCTGTTCCACCCCCCGCTCGTGTGCCTCCCAGCCTCACCATGCCCTGGCCCAGCTCTCCCTGCAGGGTCAGGGTGCCGCCACTGCCGAGCATAACCTATTCTCTGGCTTCTAAACTCCGGAGATCCACAGCCGAGTCTTCCTGGCAGCGGTCGCTCTGGGAGTATGCTCTATGGTTGTGGGCTGGCTGCTGGCACAGCGTACTCAAAGAGCGTACAACCATAGAGCGTATTCCCAGAGTGGCAACTTCCAGAAGACTCGGCATTCTACCTCCATGCTTTGGAAGCCGCAGAAAAAGCCATGCGGCAGTGGCAGCAGAGATGCCCTGGCTCTGCAGGGAGAGTTAGGCAAGGGCATCGTGAACCTGGGAGTCGTGCGAGTGGGGAGCAGAAAAGCCGCTCGTGCAACCCCCCTCTCCAGCCATGTAGAGCCACATTCACTGACCTAGGGGCATTCTGAAGGCGCCAAGCCATGGGAGTTGGAGGGTGGCAAACAGCTGCTCATGCGGCTTGGCGATACCCCTAGGTCAGTGAATGGTTCTGTGCCCGGCTGGAAAGGGGGTTTGCTGGGCGGCTGCTTGGCTGCTGCAACAGCACAACACAGCCGTTCAACCCTGAGGCTGTGCCCGGCTCTTCGGGAGCCCGCTCGCAAGAGAGCAACCCCCTGGCAACCTCCCTCTCCAGCTGGGCACACCACTGCTCAACGACCTAGCGGTATCCTGAAGGTGCCAAGCAACATGAGCCTTTGCCCCCCTACTCCGTTCCTGCGGCTTGGTGCCTTCAGGATACTGCTAGGTCAGTGAGTGGCACTCTGCCTGGCCAGGCGGGGGGGTTGTTCAGAGGGCTTATTTTCAGAGGAGGGCTTACATTTTTGCCCACCCAAAAAATGTGGCATGGCCTTATTAGCAGAACATGTTGTATTTTCGGGGAAACACGGTACAAGCATGCTGGCACTCTTTTCTCATTACTTTTGAACTGTATGAAATGTGTTAACTAATTGCATACAAGATACTGTCAAGTTACTTAAATGTGAGTTTTAAGACTTGGTGGAAGGCTTGACAATGATTTTTTTAAAGTGGAATATCATTGTGGTACAGAAATGACAAGTCATGCCCTTGATCTGGTTTTCACTATAGATTGGATTGGGAATAGCCTAGCAATGGAAGGGATTACTTTGACCTTTTTATCAGGGGTTATTTCCTAGATTAATTATAAGTATCTCCTCTTACAAATGTGAAAGTGTTCCATATGTATCTGAAAAAAAAAAATAAGAGGTCATCTTATATTGAGGCTGAATGTAATATGGAGACAGGAAAATAACTTCGGTTTAATATTTTTGGAGGAATGACAGGATTGTTTCAAATTCAAAATCATATTCCTTTCAAGTAAATATGGTATTAAAATGGTTCATCTCCAGATGTTTATACATTCTTGACAAGATTCCTGACATTGTAGAAGGAGAGTCTATAGTTAGTCCTTCGAGCTGTGGAAGCTTATGCCTTTTAACAAAACTTGTTAATTAAATTGCCTGGGACATTTTTCAACTAGTGAAGCTTTGTTTCCTGGGAATAGTCTAAATTTACTGTGACATATTAAGTAATCTTGAAGGCAGTTTCAAGCATAGAATCTAACTTAGAGAAAGAGGGAATTTTTGGCTACAGCCATAGACCTTCAGATGATGTAGAATGGCAAAAATTTGAAAACAAAGATATATTTTGGTTTTAAAACACTGTTAGAAGATAATATTCTTACTTATCTGTAATATGACAAATGCTTATTCCAGTGCAATCAATTTTTCTTGATTTTTCCCCCCAGAAAAGTGTTCTTATTGTTTAGCCTTGTATATGGTGAGTTTTAAAATGTAAATAGTGAAAGTAGGAGAAATGGGGTAGGATAGAATTAAAATGGCCCTTTATTGTGATGGAGTATGAGTATATTAAAAGTGGTGTCTCTTTAAATTGATCTGGACTGATGATTTTAAGGACATGGTCATTCAGTTTTCTTGGAAGCAATATTGAAATGATTTGCCATTCTCTTCTAGGATGTTTTTTGATTTCCCTATCTAACTTGTAGCTCTAGTAGACAAAGTGAACCATGTTCTGCTGATCTTCTAACTTTGAGACAGCCACATACAGTAAGAACTTCAAGGGCTTTCTCACTTAATCTGTTAACGTACAAAAGATACTTCTGCTGGAATTGCTGGTCTTGTTACAAATGCCTCCTGGGCTGAAATAGCCGTGCTGAAGATTAGTAGCATATATCAGCCATGAGCCTTCAAGAAGTGGCACTATGGTTGCAGACCCAGTGTCCGTGTAGAGTGTGGGGATTTGCAAAGTTCACTGACAGAGAATGGTGTGTTCTGCAGAACAACAGAATATTCTGTCCTCTCTCTGAACCATGCTGAAATTTAGCTGGACTGTACTTCTGGATGACGGCTTTTGGAACTCCCAACAAGCCTGGGCAGTTTGCAACAGTTAAATAAAGAAATTGCAATAAAATCAAAAGGTGACAGGTGAGACAGACCAGATGGGATGAAGCAAAGGGTCTTATTTTCCCTTGCCGAATGCCTCAGTGAAGAACTAAGTTTCACACTTGTTCTGAATAACAACAGATCTCAGAGGAAACATCAAGAAGGGGAGTGGAATTCTTCTTTACATATCTGTATCATGCATTGACTTGAAATATTTATATCTTCCTTTTGCAAGGTTTTCAAAGGCAACTTGTGGTTAAAATACAGTGTAAGACGCGATTTCCAATGTTACTTTTTTAAAAATAAAGAATTAGAGCACATCATCCTGACTTTTAGAAAACATGTGTAACTGAAAAAGCTGTCCATATTCTGTTTCTTAAATTATTTTTTACTTTATATTCACAGGGGAAGATGTTTGGTCTTATGCAAAGGGGCTTCCTCATCTGTTCCAGCAGGGTGGTGTATTCTACAATATAATGAAGAAAACAATGGGTATACTTTCTAATTTTATGTTAATGTATCTTTTCTACCATGCTGTGCTTTATATATTTAACACTTTGGTGTTAATTACTTTAGACTGATATGTCTAATTATCTGTATGCTAAAGTTCTTGATCTAGAACCAAAATCTGAAACATGAATTCAAGTCAAGAACTGAAAAGGACATTGTGATAGAATTAAAATGGAAAACAAATATACTGTAAAACTTAAGGATCTGAAGACTGGATGTGTTGATATTATTTGGTAATGGGATTCATCTATCTGTCACTTCTGCTATTGCTAAGGTGAGGGAGATATTATATGTCTCTATAATGGCATATAATGAGCAAGATGGCATAAGCTGCAACATAATATTGTCTGCTTTCCTTAGCCATATTGGTTCCTATCCTATAAATATTTGTCCACAAACATTATAAGGAAAGAATAGGAACTGAATTTGGTGCTAAAGCTGGAATTTCCCGATTCTTTCCTCCCTCACAACTTTCTGACTATCTTTTCTCTGCTCAGAAAAAATTAAGAATCCATTTTTAGATGTTTTATTTTGATAATCTTCACCGAATTGAATTTATTAATTTATTAATTAAAATGTATCCATTTTCAATTTTGCATATTGTTATTGTCTTGTAGAGGTTGTCTATCACACATTCTTCATAGCTTCTTACTGAAGTTTAGATTATCATTGTGTTCTTTCTAAAAAAATATATACCACTAGAAAAAAGATAAAAAATACCCATGCATTAAACTAAAGTATGTATTTTTATGTACTCTTTGTTATGGCTATATAAAATTTCTAGGTTTAAAATGAGTGAATGTTAAAGAGCAAAATCCACATGCACATTTCACTTGGGCATTGAATCTTATTTAGCTAGTCTTCTATTCTTTTTCATTTTGTATTTCTTGAATGTATTTGGGGTATATAAATAATACTTTACTTTTTTATATTTCATGATTTTATAAGCTTTATTAAAAGTCATAATCATGCATTTTTACTATTTTTGTAGGTCTGGCTGATGGTGAACACTGTACTTTTCCACACTTGCCTGGCAAGACCTTTGTATACAATGCAACAGAAGATAGATTGGAACTTTGTGTGGATGCTGCTGGTCATTTCCCTGTAGGTTCTGATGTGGAAGACTTGGTTAAAGAGGCCCTAAATCAAGTACGAGCAGAGGCTTCTTCAAGAAGTAGGGAAGCAAGTCCTTCACATGGACTTCTAAAATTAGGTAGTGGTGGAGTAGTTAAAAAGAAATCAGAGCAACTCCACAATGTAACTGCATTTCAAGGAAAAGGCCATTCTCTAGGCAGTGGAACCAGTAGCCAGCAGCTTCATCCAAAAGTTAGGGAAGCTCCACTTGGAAGAAAGCAAAACATAGGTACAGATTTCAATACCAATTCTGCTAAATTGGACCCTTCCATGTACACCGGTGATTCTGGAAATAGTGAACTTATACGGATAGCTCCTGGAGTAGGAACAATGAGAGATAGTAGACAACTTGATCCTAATTTAATTGAGGCACAGCGGAAAAAATTGCAGGAAATGGTTTCTTCAATTCAAGCATCAATGGACAGACATCTGCGAGATCAAAATACAGAGCAGTTGGCAACAAACGATTTTTCTCAAAGAAAATTAGAGGCAACAAGTTCATCAGTTAAAACAAAGAGCCCTCAAGTGAGTTTAACTGAATCATTTACTTTATCAAGTGGCAGTGGTCGTTTGAATACAGAAATAACTGATAGTAACATGTCAAATGCATTGGCAGCATCATTCTCCACAAGATCAAAAGCCCAAAAAGGAAATTCTGTTGAAGAGCCTGAAGAGATGGATAGCCAAGATGCAGAAATTACTAATACAACTGAGCCAATGGATCATTCATGAAAAGTCTAACAGCTGATATCAACAATAGATTACTGTGCGAATGTAGTTTGTTGGCTGGACCACATTAATTTAGTCATTGAATCTTGTATGTTTCAAAGATTATATGTTACTCACTGCATGATAGCAAGTGTGTGATAGATAGTAACTTTTAATTTGACATTCTGCTGCCAGGTTAGGTCTCAGTTAGCTGTATATTAATTATTAGAACAAGCACTGAGAAAAAAATATCTGCTGTAGTTGTGGGTTATCTCTCTCTCTCTCTCTCTCTCTTTTTTTGTAATTTTTATTCCATTAAAGTCTTAATCCGCCAACCCCTATGAAATCATAAAGATATTTTTTCAGTTTGATATGTGAAAATAAAACCTGACAATGTACTTGTTTGTCAGATACTGGTCCATATTTCATTAAACGACATTTGCTATACTTGACATTTGAAATCAAATTTATATCTGTTAGATAAGTCAAAATGCTGAAGTACATTTACTGATGGTTCTTTAAAATTGTAAAGGAAGATATGGAAGCTAGTATATAAGAAACAAAATAAAGATGTCTGAACTATAATTCCTTGCTTTATTGGCAAGTAATAGTATGTTTTGTTTTGAGTTGCTGAAGTGCTACAGTATGTTTTTACATGGTCAAAGACAATAAAATGCAAGCATTTTAAGAACAGAATAAGAATTTGATTTGATTCAGGAACATTTTACAAATAGGCATTGATTATCTGTGATCCCTATTAATGCTTCCTATGTTGGTTAATCAAATTTAACAGAACTGTTAAATCAGGGGTTTCTCATTGAATTAATAAAAACTCCTTTTAAATTCCTTACACTTAGGACATACTTAAAGCTTTTATTGTAATACATCACTTTACTTAAACTGGATCCACTTTAAGCAGCATGTTCACCAGATGTAATTTTTAAGAAAAAGACACTGTTTGCTTCAATAAAGCAGACCTTTATGTTGATACTAATGTTGCACTTTTTGCCTCTTCACATATTTCTATTTATGTGCATTATTACTACTACATCTGATAAAAATAAACTTGAAAGGGTGAAAGACAATATAGAAAAGTATAGGAAATAAATCTTAAGTTCATAATTATTATCCAAGACTTGGGCACATGTGACTTTTTTCTGTCTATAAGTTTATAATATAAATACTTGTACTCTTAAAGTATGTTTAAACATTTTGCAGTTACAATCACACAAAATTACTAAGGAATGCTATGATTAAATACCCCCAAAAAGGGAAGGCTTATTTTTTTATGCAGGAAAGTTACTTAGAGATAACAATTGCCTCAGTTCACTTGAATATCTTATGCATTTATATACCATATGTCTTTTCTCCTAAGAGAGAATCTTCCAGATTTTATCTTGTATTGCACTATTTGTGTATAAAGCCTTCAAATCACACTTTCATGAATGAGTAATTTTAAATATATAATTTTGCTCTTTAAGAAGTAAAATATGTCAATATACAGTTTTAAAATTGATCCAGGCCATACAGAATAGATGCCTGCATAATCAGAAAACTACTATAAACTGCTAGCAAATACACAACCATGTGCCAATGACACCAAGAAACCAGTTGTGCATTCATAGGGTGACATCGGCTAAGTCCATAATGAAGTTCAAAACTAGCATAAGCTGGCTGATATAAACAAGAAAAGCAGCAGTGCTTTTTCTGAGCAACAGGACATCAACACTGAATATCCTTTCTAAAAAATCTGGCTTCTGTCATATAATGCTTGGAATTATGGTGCTAGAGCTGTTGTGAAGAAAATATTTTTGGCAATGATAGCATTTCCATAGTGCTTACATTTCTAGGACTCGAGTAAAAACTGGCAATTTTGTATTGATTTGAATGTAAATTGTTAAAATAGTTTGACAGTTTAGTAACTTTTGGTAATGAAGAAATAGAATAATGATTCTAGGGAATAAACAATACAATCAGTAGCACTTACTGAAAATTCATGTATGTATAGGATAAGTTGTGAAGCTGGAGAGGCATACAAAGCTTTTTAATTTTAATCTGGTTGGTTTGACTAAGAGTTAAGTATTCTTTCCGTAGAAACTTTTCTTTAGGGATTACTGTTAATTTTTTTTTTCTAGGCAGAGAATACATTCTTCATTTTTGTATCTTTTCCTTTATGTGACAACAAATTTTTGAAATGCCCAATTTTTTAAAAATTAACTATTAAAACTTAGGAGCTATGTGAATTTTTCTGCTGCATCTGTAAATGCTTGGTAAACATTACATATTAAGGTTTAATATTACAACTGTGCACACAATGTTGTCTGATCCCTATCAAAGTTAATGAGACTGAGGTGCACAAATATATGCTCAAAACCATTGACTCTAATAGCATCTTGTTGCAGCTAAACTGCTGAATTTCAGTGAGCTTAAGTTCATATAACTTGCTATAGTATTGCCTGTTTCATGATTTAATCAAATACGAAAATAATTAATGGAGAAAAACATTGGATCTGGCAAAAGAAATAGTAATGATGTCTGAACTGAATTTCCTTAAGAAATAAGTAGCATAACTATATCTGTATCACAGTTTTCTTGAAGGGAATGGTATCCAGTTTGATAATTGGAAGATCATGATTTTTTGAAGTCAGACTGCTGTTCCTTTCAGGTTAAACAAATTTGTTATTAAATAGCAAAGCAATTTTCTTTGTAAATAATAATATAAATATTAGTACAACAGAAGCTTGGCAGTATTCAGTGTACTGGTTTACTAAGAGAATAGCCTCTGTGTTACCAGAGGAAAGAAATGCAAATAAAAATAAAATGCATTTTAGAAATTGCTGGCATTAAGGCATTTTGCAGGATTTTAATTTAGATGTAAATGTATTTTATGATACATTATACCCCTTTGTTACATTTCTGTATTTGTTGGAAACTTAAACATAGACCATGTGCAATTAAAAATAACATCCTATGTGCTGGACTATGTCTTCTTTAACTTTTGAAGATTTGTACCTCATTATTTACAAGAGAAAAAAGTAACATTCTGGTTTTTAAAAATGCAAAATCTTTCTTATGTTCTATTTTTCCTCTGCAACTTTAAACAAAAAAAATTCTCGTCGGTTGAAAATAATATGTTATAGAAATAGGATTTCCTGAGTTATGCTTTCTATTCACTGTTTTAATAAAGAACACAGAAGAGCATTGTTATACTTTTATTCTAATAATGCTAAATGGAAAATGTAGCTTTTTGAAGATCAAAGTGAATATTTTTTCCCATCAGAAAAGAATGTAATTATGATACAGTAGTCTAGCAAAGCGTTTTGATTATTGTTCCACCGTATCCATATTCAGCTCAGCATACAACTCAATATCTCAATCTAAACTGGTTTTTCTTTTAGCTAATTTTGCTAAGCTGGTTGTTAGAACTTCATCAGTAGCTGATAGGTGGAGTTGTGTATTCAAAAATATTTCTTCCAATAATTTTGATATCTTACATTTTAAGGTGCTGCATTTAAAATTCTTTTAAGTCAGAATTCTTGCTTGGCCCCCATGATTGTAGCAAAAGATTGAACTGTAACTGATATTTTTAGATTTTATTTTATTGTGGATTATTGCCAGAAAAGAGTGCACTTTTGGAAGTAATTGGATTTCTTAAAAAATGTATATTAAGCATTAGCACTGTATATATTTAGGATATCTTTTAAAATGGCAAGTGCTTTACATATTGAATTAAACTAGAGTAGTAATAATACCATGTTCACAATGCTGGCCATTCAGCACATTTGAATTTTATTTGTGATTGCTGTACTAATTTGTTTTTTTTTTATTTGTAATGTAATAATAGTGTATTATAACAGTGTATTATATTACATTTTACTGTACAGTATTTTGAATTTTCTTTGATTGCAATATTAAAAATCTAAGCCAAACAAATTTTTGCTACTCCTTGTATCAAGTTATTGTTACAGAGGTGATTATTATAGGCAACTTTCTATGCCTTTCATTAAGGCAAATTCCTTTGTATAGAGGAATGGGAGTAATAATGCCAGTGCCATCCCTTTGTTAAACAGAACTGCATCTCTATCAATCTTTACTCCTAAGTAGACTTAGCAATAGCAATAGCAGTAGACTTATATACCGCTTCATAGGCCTTTCAGGCCTCTCTAAGCGGTTTACAGAGAGTCAGCATATTGCCCCCAACAATCTGGGTCCTCATTTTACCCACCTCGGAAGGATGGAAGGCTGAGTCAACCCTGAGCCGGTGAGATTTGAACCGCTGACCTGCTGATCTAGCAGTAGCCTGCAGTGCTGCATTTAACCACTGCGCCACCTTGGCTCTTGACTTTTCAGCTGTTTTTATGTTTCAGAATCCCAGTTATTGGGACATTTTAATTAAGAAATTTGTTAGTTGGACAATACAATCACATGTATTATTTTAAATTCACATACATTATAGATTGGAGAGCACAGAGGTATACATATAGAAGTTAGATGGATTAGAATAACTTTTCAGAGGACTCTGTTGATGTGTGGTCAAAAATGGGCCTGTGGATTTGTTCATCTAGATGTATATCCTGCTTTTCCTTTTTGGAGAAATATACCTAAAATCTCTAGATATCTCACTCTCCACCCATAAAATACTTCGCTGATCTTAAATTTAACTACCATCAATAATAATAAAGTAATGCACTGAGTACCTCATCCTACATATGAAGAATATGCAAGGGGAATTATATAGGTTCTTGAGCTAAAGGGCTATTTACCATTGTATAACATCTTATTAGTGGAAATGGGGTGGAAGGGTTTTTTTTTGTTTTATAATATTTTTAAATATATTTTTTAAAATTAGTATGATGTCCTGAGCCCAAAGAAATAAAAATATACATACAGCTAGTCCTTGACTTGCAACCATTTAGCAACCCTTCAAAGTTACAACAGCACTGAAAAATGTCACTTATGGCTGGTCCTTGCACTTCATGACCATTGCAGTGTCCCAACAGTCATGGGATCAAAACTGGGACAATTGGCATGCATTTAGGATAGTTGCATCCATCCCCTGTGCCCTGTTTTGGGCCTGGACAGCCTCCTGCAACACTGGCAGCCAAAACAGGAGGTGGAGGGCTGTATGCGCCCCCCCCCCCCGCATCCTGTTTTGGCTAGTAGAGGCACTGTAGGCTGGTCCTTTGCTATTTCCAGGCCTGCCCCGCAGGCTAGATCTAAGCAACCTGCGGGCCTCATCTGGCCCATGCGGGCCTTGAGTTTGACACCCGTGGTACAGCAGATGCTTTCTGTGAAGAATAATGTATTTGTCAGTGGTATTATACTGCAATATTAAAATACTTAATTAGCTTTCAAATCTAATTTTAGACATAGAAATTCATTTGTGTCTTTAGGGTAGCAAATTAAAAGCTATCTTAGCCTATCAAAAAGCAAATGAAGGAACTGCTAACTTTTCTATTTTGGAAGCAAAGGTGAATATCAATACTCCATATAAACCATATTCAAAATTAATAGTTATATAAATTATGTGTAGCCACTTCACTAATCATTTTTTCTAACAATTTCTGTGTAGACCCGAAGGCCACCACTAAGTGAGTGTGAAAGAAAGATCCTAAGAGTAAAGAAAACATGTAGGTTTACTGTACTTAACATTGTATATATCTTGACTTTGGCATCACTGACCTACTTCCTTAAAA